ATTAAAGTTTAGTCCTTTTTTTTTCACTACCTTTGTAGAAGTTCTTGAAGTTTCTTTTCTATGTCTGCTATCAATACTGTATCATCTGTATATCTAATGTTGTTAAAATTAGAGGCGTGAATAATGAATATTGGTAGTACTTGTAATTCTCTCAGAATCACCTCACTGTATAAGTTGAATAAGTCCGGTGAGAAGACACATCCTTGTCTTACACCTCATTCTATTTTTCCATATTTACTGAATTCATTTTCTATTTGTGTGCAATCAGTTTCTTGTCAGTGTAGGTTCTGAATTATTTTAATATCCTTTCCAAATATGTCAAGGTTAACGAGCAGTTCCAAGAGTTCTTTGTGACATACTTTATCAAACCAGGTGAGTTGTAAATATATTTATATGGTATATATTTGTTGATATTTTCTTAATTTTCTTTGCTTTTCTTTGAAGTGAAAATTAACCAAAGACCAGTTTATTAACAAATCTTGCTATATATGCCCAAGTAGAGTTCTTTGAAAATTCTTTTCTAACAGATGCACAAACAAGTACCTCCAAAGTGCACGTCATTTTGTATATTTGCAGCTATTTGTCAAAATTTATTTGACCCTCTGCTTATATTTTTAACATGACTTGTTTCTTGTGGCCAGTTTCCCACCGTGAGTCCTCAAAGCAAATGTTTTCCTTTTGACGATTTTCATTTAATAGTATTTAATTTCCTTTCTTGTCATCAAAACAAAAGATCAATGAATGCCTGATAAAACAGTCTGAAACCGATCTGTGTCACTCATCACCACTCAGTGTAGGAGCTTCATTGATCTATTGATTCAATTCAATCCATATTGGCTTCCCCATTCTTATGCTTTTCATTTGATGTGGTCATGGTGAGCAGCTGTTGGATTTTCATTGCCATTTATTTAGGGTATCCCTCTGTTGTGAATGGTTTGAAATTTCAAAAACATTAACAATGATATGGAGTCAGATGTCAAAGCTCAGTAAGAATACCTAGCCCAACACCAACAAGATCTTTATAAACCTCCATGTTTCAATTCATTTCTTTTTATTAGAATAGGACAATGGAGAGGTGCTGTTTGAAGACAGGAATCCTAGAGTCAAGTCTATTAATGTTCAAATCATAGTGTTCATTGAATTGCATTTGTTAGTTATTTGACATAATAACTTCTGAAAATGTTTTGAAATCTTTTATACAAAATTTAAATTCATTGAAATTTTTCCTCAAAATGGAATGACTTATTTTTAAATTGAATATTTTTATGCCTTACAATCTGACAGCAAGAAAGAAATTTAAAAATATCTTCAATAAAATAATTAAACTAAAATAACACAATTTGTTGAATATTATAACGTGTATAAAAATGAATTTCCATTTTAAATGTCTTGTAATAAAAAAAAGAAAATCTGCCGGGCATTGACAATATTTTATTCCCTGTAAGACATACAAATTCATGTGCAAATTGAGAGAGAAAAAGGTCTTGAAGAACCATTTTGAAAAGTGATGAAATTTTAAACAATGATCTGCCATTTCAGAAATTTTGGAAGTTTTAGATTTGATTTTTGCTATCATTAGCAGCAGACAAAATATGTGTCATTTGTTGCCAAGAAAATGTCACTTCTCAGATTCATGAAATAATTATAGATTCTGACAAAGTTTAACCTACACACCAACAAAAAGGGTCTGTCAAAAGAACGACTTTTCTCTTGATACCACTATTACTATATACACTCTCAGCAATTTTTATAGTTTTTAAGAGCTATTTTTAGAACTTTAATAGCAACTAAAATTTTACACACTCTTTAGTTGTTGGATTATTTATTTACAAGTTGATAAAAACATACAAACCTGTGGAATCTTCCACAACAAACCAGCCTTACCTCTTTTTAGGAAATGCACTCTTCTTATCTGGTAAGTAAAATTCTACTTTCATACAATATAACAAGTATTCATTGGTCAATCACCTCCAATCTAGCTTGCTGATTGGTCAGTTCTGACCAATCAAACCGCCTGCACACGAACAATCTGTTTTCCTGCTCATATGCTAGGAGCCACTTGACCATTATATAAACCAAACACATGTGAACCTTTTGAGTAGTAGTTACCAAGATGTAACCTTCACCGACTCCTGTCTTAGTCATTGCTGACCAGACGTTAAAGACAAATTCCAACATTCACGAACTCTGAAATCACTCCTGAACTTTTACCAACTTTGCAAACTCACAATTCCAGACTTTCTTAATATGAACTCTGGTACAACTAATACCTAATCAAAGGGACATGACTCTGTCCTACCTTTTCAGTTCGCATTCATGTACATCAAACATTAATAAATCTAATTGTTATGTTTTGGAATCATTCAGTTCAGTTTTGTATTTTATTCTATGCGCTATTTATGTCAAGTATAAATTGCATTGCTTTCACGCATTGTCCTTAATCTCATCTTTCCTAGCCCAAGTTAAATATTGGTAACTCAATCATTACAACGATGATGATACAACAGCTACATATTTGATGATCCCGTCGGAAATAAACAACAATGGTACCCCTATCGCTACAAACCAACTGGATATAAATTTCCAAATAAAATCACTTTCATCCTTACCTTATGTTTTCAAAAAGTTTATTAAAAAAATAAAAATGAAAAATATTGAGTGCTTCGCATAGAGTTATCATTAAAAAGCCTATCCCTTAGTCTTTTTTTGTTTATATATCAATTTATAAAACTGTCTGAACAAGAAAAGTTCAAGAAGCACATAATGACAAGTGACTATCATTCTAAATTTTGCAGACATGCATTTTCCAGATATTTTTTCTATCATTTGCTCTCACCACATAAATTCAATCAATAAGTTGAGAGCATCTCTTCCTCCTCTGAAGCAAACCTTTTAATTTTAGATTTAGTTTAGACCATAAACACTCAATATTTTCACTGTGTATATCGCCATTCATTGGATGGACAAAATTATTCTTGGGTATAATTACAGAATGTCTGTAATTTTTATTGTGTATTTCAGTTGATGCCACTTTATGGCAGACAACCAGGTGAAATTATGTATTACTGGTAAGATATTTTCTTTGATTGCAGAAAACAGTGTTGATGTTGATTTAACTACAATTTATTTATTATTTTATAAAGAAATAAATATGAAAACAAATATTTTTATTCAAAAATATACAAAATTATGAAAACATAGGAACCAACAACTACAATGCCATATTTATTATTTACCATTTTATAAATAAATAACTATGAAAACAATTTTTTATTTTTAAATCATTGTTAATTTTTTCTAAACTGAAGCCTGCCTAAACAATCTGCAGGTAAATTATTGTCAGCCAAGTGATGACTGACAAAGAAATCTTAAATGAAAAATGAACAATAAGCACCATGACAAAAGCGATTGGCAAAGGCAGAAAATTGTGAAAAATGCCCAAAATACAATTGTTAATGTGAACTGAACAGTAGTGATAACAAACAATAAAAGCAAAAAAATTGTATGGAATTTGTAATCCATGCCAAAAAAGAACAACTGTAAGAGTAAAGGTTCTTTTTTACTCAAATTCCACCAGATTGGATCTCACACAAGTGACATTTTATTTACTCTTAGAGCTAAAATATCATGCAGCAGGATACAGCTGGAATTGCAAAAGACCAGCATTGCATTGACCAGGAACTGAAGGAGGGAATGCAAAGAAGACCTATCTTGCAACCCAATTAAAATCAGTGGCAGCGACATGGTTACTGAAGTGGATGAGACGTATTTTGGAATGAGCAAATATAACAGAGGAAGGGTGCACCAGGGACAGTGGGTATTTGCTGACATCAAATGAGACACCAGATGTTTTGTTCAACCAATTGCAGATAAAGTCAACATCAGCATTGCTTCCTGCAATCAAAGAAAATATCTTACCAGGAATATATAATTTCACATGTTGTCCATCCAATGAATCTGGATATACACAGTGAAAATATTGAGTGTTCATGGACTCAACTAAATCTAAAAATTAAAAGGTTTGCTTCAGAGGAAGAGATGCTCTCAACTTATTGATTGAATTTAAGAAATGAGCTTTTTAACAATAAACTAGCAGTAGAGCCCGGCGTTGCCCGGGGATGTAACAGTAAGAGATAGATCAAGTATCGACCATTATAAAGACTGAAAAATAAAATTGACAAAGATTATTGTTTAAGGGTGACGGACACACATGTCTGAATTAGTTTTTTTTTTTGTTTTTTTTTTACGAATTGGTCAAACCCAAACTCAAACAAAAACATTGTTTTCAATCGTTATGAGTCCACCGACTGAATAGAATTTTATTATAAACAATTGTCTTGTAAACGGAATTTTTAAAGCATTCTGAATGTAAAAATAAAGAAAAAAGTGTGCAAGACAATAAAAAACAATACCTGCTAAAAAAAAGTGAAGTTTTGTTGAAATCAGTTGAAAAATGTAGGAAATCCAATCCCATATATAAATGAACACACACACACACAAACAACGTGGGTTTTATAATAAGTATAACTCGATATGAGTTGTCCCCCTTTCATTCTTGCGATGCCTCTTAATCGTGTTTTCAAATTGACTTTGTGCAAAGACAATTGTGTTTTTTTGGCGCTGTCAGAACCACTGCAAGGTAATTTTACGTAGTCCTGTGAAGTTTTGTTGAAATCGGTTCAAAAATGTGGGAAATCCGATCCAATATATAAACGTACAGACACACACACACAACCTGCATTTTATAATAAGTAAGATCTATGAGAAGCACTCAATTTCTTATTTTTATTTTTTTAATAAATTTTTTGAAAACATAAAGTAAGGGTGAAAGTGATTTTGTGTGGAGATTTATATCCAGTTCCCACAAATGATAAAATAGGCTTTGATTCTAAGGGTTTTATCCTGATAAAAAACAAAAAAGTATCACTGAAATAAAATTTACAGACATACAGATACACATATATAGAGAGAGAAAAAAGTAATCTATAGATTTGCCAAACCTTTTATTTGTTTTGCTGAGGAGATCAGCCATGTTTTTAAGATAGTCAGGAACAAATGTCACTAATTGTTCTTCCTCACTTACTTCTACTGGAATGATACTTTGGAAATATTTCAGCCAATCAAACTGGAAAGAAAAAAAGAAATTCAAACATCAAGTGGTAAAGGATTTTTTTTTTTAAAAGAAAGTGTTATTAAGCAATGGAATGGAGGTGGGCTTTAGTGCAATGGTTATTCTCTTGGAGGATGATCCATCTGAGTCTATTTGCATCCACTTTACACTCAACTTTTGGGAAAGGCATGAATGAATCCTTTCTCTACAAAACTATGGTTGAAATAAGAAAGACTTGGGTCTTTATCCTTAGTAGGGCCTCCATTTTAGAAGGGCCAACTCTGAATTTAAAAAAAAAAAAACTATTCCAAACAGATATGTGATCAATCAGGCTCAATACATATTCCATATATAAGTTACCAAATAACTGCTAGCAGATCCACAATTATTTATACTCAATAGCCTCTAGAATTATTTGAAACATAACTGTTTCTGCCTATATATATATATATATATATATATATGCTTGTGAGTATGTGCATATATGGATGTGTATGTATGTATATATATGTTTATATATATTTGAATGTATGTGTGTGTATGTATATGCATATGTATCTTCGTAATTTTATATTTCTATTCATTTAAAATGGTCCTTTACTTATAACTTTATTTATTTAATAAAAAAATTTTCTTATATATATTTAAAAAAAATTTTTTTAATTTCTTAAAAAATAAATTGTTTTTGAAGAAATCTTTTTATTTAAGTTTTTTTTATTGCTATTATTTTCAAAATCACCAAAGGTTTTTTTGAAATTATAATGGGTATGATTCATGATGCTATTTCACTACATGAATTGAATAGACATTTTATGAATGTTCATTTTGTATATTTTCGCCCTCTTTTGCCCATAACACTTTTCTTATTTTTGAATCCCTTTTCTTCTAGCTTCTTTTTTTTCCTGTCTTCCTTTTTGAATATATTCACTCTCTTTTTACATTGGAGGTCAACATGTCCATGACTTTTTAACAACTTTCTTCCATTCCTTTCCCTATCTTACTCTCCCTCCCCACGTCTCTCTCTCTTTCTCTTTATTAGCGAGCTGCAAAAACAACGGGTGGAAATCAAGCTGTTTGTCAGTCGAAGTGGGTGTAAGGGGTTTCGCCGCAAGGTCCCTATGCAAAGCTCTAACGGACATTGGCGTAGTAGGTGCTAACAAAAGAAAGGTGATCCAGACCATAACTAATACAGCAAAAAGGACAGCAAAATGGTTATGGATTAAGCGTGATAGCCCTTGGACATCAATGTAACAAACAATCATCAAGCCAGGCAAATTTGTAAATATTATTAATATAATTGCAACATGGCATTATTGTAAACATTTTATTATTTTTTATTTTAATTTATTTTTTATTTTATTTACTTATTTTATTTTATTTTTTGGGTATGTGTGTAAATATACAAATTGATATGTACAAGCACAGCCAAAGTATATATCTCGTCAATTCGTAAACTGTGCTATTTGTAAATATGTTGTTTTTATGTTAAACCCATGTTATACACGGTACTTTTTAAGTTACTATTTAACTTTTTAGTGGTTTTGGCGCGACACATCTCTTAAGACGTTGTCCATTATTCTCTTTTTTTATTTAATCGAACATAAGATGTTTTTGTCTATTTTTTTGCTTTTTTTTTATTCGAACGTAAGACCTTTTCGTTTTTTTCATTTTTTTTGTTTTTTTTCTATTTTTTTTTTTTCCCGAACGTAAGACCTTTTTGTCTATTTTCGAACGCAAGACCTTTTTTGTCTATTTTTTTTTCCGAACGTAATGTAAGACCTTTTGTCTTTTTTCAATTTCACATTTATACGAACATGCCGCATTTTTATATTTTAAATCAGAATCATAACCACGTATATAGTGTATTTATAGTGTTTTTCTCTCGATCATTACCATATATATATATATTATTTGTATATTATTTTTATTTTATTAGTTTAATTGTCAGCGGTTTTAAGCAATACATATATATAATTATAATATGAAGCTTCGTTAATACTCAATATACTTCAAGATCATTTCGTCATCTATTATATTTAACGACTTCAAATTTGTATATAATCAATAATATTAAGGAATATTATAGTGCTTACTGTACTTTTATTTTTAATTTCATTTTTGTATGTACGTGAAACATATATACATATATATATATATATATATATATATATATATATACGCCATGTTTATGGACAATTATTATCTTAATTTTGAGAATACATCCAATAAAAGTTAACATGCAATAATGTTAAGAAACAGTCTAAATGATAAAATATGATAATAGGGTTGAGTTTAAGTATCCCCGCCAAAAGAAAAGAAAAAAGTAGAAATAAAATAAAAACAGCAAAGAATTAAATCATACAATACTTAAGGAGAAGATTTAGGAACATCAAGATTGCCTCCTCGGTTATCCATCGAAACTGCAATCCACCGAAATAAGAAAAGAAGCCAGTCCCCACTGTGGGCCATTTAAAAGATATTTTGCGCACCGGATTGGTTGTTACAAACACCCAATCGGATGAGCAGAATATGTGGTCTTTCTTTTCTCTTATTCTTTAAAAAGACCAGAGTGGCTGTTAGCGTTTAGTTGGAAGGGGGGATCAGGGGTTACTTAAAAGCGTATTTGCGAATCTTTCCCTTCCTCCAGAATAAAACATTTTAAAATCTATATTTCACCTTCTGATGTTAGAATATCTTGTTTTTTCTTGTGTCTGGCTAAATTTAAAATTCATTTATTGTTGTAAAATTGTTTGGTTTGAAGAGACTGGGTTTGATCCCTTGAAATAAATTATTACCTATGGATTTGTAAAGTCTCTGTTTTCATCATTATTATATTTGCTCTGTTCTTACATTGAGCTCTCTTTGGATTTAGATCCTCTTTGGAATTATCCCTACTAATTATAAAATAATAATATATATCTTTGTTTATTTATTTGTTAAATGCTTTTTTTGTTTAACTGCTACATATGATGTCCCTTTAAACTTATTCTAATTCCACTGATCTAAAAATCATCAGGATGTAGTTAACAAAATCTTATCTACCATACAAACAGCTCTTGGTAACATTTTGACAGCACCCAGCTCTTTGTAACGTCATGACAGCTCCCAGCTCTTGGTAATGTCTCAACAGCACTCAGATCTTAATAACATCTTGACAGCCCGGCCCTAGGTAATGTCTTGACATCCCCCAGCCCTTGGTAACATCTTGACAGCCCCCAGCTCTTGATAATCAGCATTGATTGATGATGATAAAGCTACAGTGGATGAACCTGTTGACTTTGTTAGAGATTAGGTCCTTCCGAAAAATAGTCAATCAACATGACTTATTGTAATTTCTTTTAATTGTAAGATTGTTTTTGAGTGGCACAAGTCACAACCAAGAAGCTTGAAGTTGAAGACAATTATTCCATGCAAGGCAATGCATCTTCATCTTTTGTAAAGCTGATTGTTGCCCACCTTGCTCAGCTGATTGTTGCCCACCTTGCTCAGCTGATTGTTGCCCACCTTGCTCAGCTGATTGTTGCCCACCTTGCTATGTCCTGTATCTTTTGGATTTATTAATAAATTTTTTTTTTTCACAATTTGCATAATAACATCTGATACTCCCAAAACAGATTATCAATATTTTTTTAATAAGGGTAGATATTATAAGCTGAAATTCACATAATATATTACTCATGTAAATCTATTCTAAAAAAAATGTAGCAATACATCTGTTGGTTAAACAAAATTTATTGTGAAAATGTTGACATTTTAGTTGATCACACATGAAATGACGCACTTTATAGTAAATGAATAACACACTTCTGAAATGTTAAATAACTAATTTATTTAGTTGAAATAGGCACCATGTTGATGAATGACTGTTCTCAAATGCACCTCTAAATTCTTGATTCCATCTTAAAAAAATTCTCATCCTTTAATGTGATAACAGTTTAAATGCTTCAGTTACCTCTTCTTTATTGGAGACGGTTTTACTGCACATGAAAAACTCAAAATGCTTAAATACATGATAAACAGTAGAATAGATATCAGGTGAATATGGAGGATGAAGCAAAATTTCATAATTCAGGTTATGCCTGCTTGGGACAGTTGATTGAGATGCGTGCGGCCATGTGTTGTCATACAGCAAAATTGGGCCAACCCTATTCACGTGTCTAGGGATGTTTCTTTTTTGATTTTTCATACATACAATCAATTTCTCCTCAAAAGGTTGCTGTTCTTGTTTCCCCTTGAGGCAAAAATAAATAATGAATAACCCCTTTGAAAGACCACCATACAGTAACCATTAACTTTTTAGGGTGCAGTGGAGGTTTTGTTTTTCTGATTCACTTGCATCTAACCACTGGCCTACTCTCTTACTGTTGTCAGAGAGTATCCATTTCTCATTGCATGTAATAATTCGATGCAAAAATGGTTCTTTTCCCCAGTTTATTATTCATACAGTTGTGGCACCTTGCATTATTAGAAATATTCATAGAAATATGATTTAATTTTTTCTTACTCGGTTACTAAACAGGTTGTTAATTTTTTTTTTTTTTTTTAAACGGAAAATAACTGAGTTGAAAATAATTCACTAAGAGTGTACTAGACGATCCTAAGGAAAGAAGAAGGAAAGAAAGGAAAAAGGAAGGAAGGGAAGAAAAAGAAAGAAAGAGAAATGTATGACGCATGACCCAATTGAGGGTGGAGATAGGAGTCAGAAAGAGATTTAGGTCAGCGTCTTGGCCGATTTTCGAAAGTCATTTTGGTAAGAATGTCGGTCAGAGCACCTAGCCTACTTTTGCATGGAAAGACACCTTATCAATTTGGATAAAGAGAAATTTTGGGGAACAATGAAACAATTTTAATCAGAGAAAAAAGTGTCTTTGGGTTGAGGGGAGTGACCGGTGGAACGATATACAGACCTGTTAAGAATTGGACACCCACGTTAATAAAGTAGAGACATTTCAATGTAGATAATTAAGATTTTCGACTATCAGGTAAAACAAAGAGGTAAAAAAAGAGGGACAATT